ACTTTTGCATCTTGAAGGGTCATATATGAGTGTTTGCTCTCCAACTATTTAAGTCAGCACTATACATACTTTTAAAAGGTATTTGTCAGCGTCAAGCATGTTTGAATCCAGAGTTTAAACTCAAGCTTTACTCCATGCATTTGTTGACAAGCCTACCCTACACAGGAGAGGAGCTCACACTGCCTCCTGCCACGGTCAGCTAGGATCATTTCACGTTGCTTCAATACTAGACAATTGATAGAATTTACAGTGTTGCAACAGGCCATTTGGTCCATCTGGTCTATGTTGGTGCTTACATTCCACATCTCCCCCCACATTACTTCATCTTAACATTTATCAGCATATCTCTCTGATCCCTTGTCTCTCATATCTATGTAGCTTCCTCTTAAATACAACCATAGAACCCATTGAAATCCATACAGCGTGGTAACAGGCCATTCAGCCCAATGAGTCCACAGTGACCCTCCAAACAGCATCCCACCCAAACCCATCCCCCTACCCTATCCCCGTAACCCTGCATTTCCCATGGCTAACACACCTATCCTACACATCCCTGAACACTGAGTAATTTAGCATGGCCAATCCACCTAACTTTCACATCTCTGGACTGTCCAATATGGTCCAATCCATATGGTGGTGAGTTTCACATTCCAACCACTCTCTGGATGAGGTTGATTCTCTTGAACAATTTATTGAAAGTATCGGTGCTTCTGTTATATTTATAACACTTACTTTAGGAGTTTCCCTCAACCGAAGACAGAGTCTACCCTATCAAACTCCCTTCATAACTTTCAAGATCTCTGTTACAATTTGCCACCAATAACTTGATGAAATCAACAAACAATATCAAGTCTCAAATAGGCTCCCAGTTTACTGATGAAACATACACTTTACAAGTGATGTTACTCCTATTGTTTGTGCATTGAGAGTGTTTTAGGTGCTTTGGGCAATGTCACTGGTGGTTGGGGGAGGGGTAGCCTTTACCTCCCCAGCCTGAGTAGTAAATTGGCAGAACGGTTACTCGTCCACGATAACTGGAAATGAAAATCAGGTAATTTTGAAAACAGACTTTCTTGGTTTCAGACCCAGTTGGGAAAGCTGACTTTCACTCCAAAATCCAGCAAACGTGATTAGAATTTTTTTTGAAATTATACTTGACTTTTCTGCCAAACTGGATTGCAACTTATCAGTTCATGAATCTGGCATCAAACAGCATTGTGTTGTAAAACAGGCCAAGATAGTCAAACAGCTGAGCAGTAGTTAGTTATCTATGGAGATCATAATCAAATGAGAATAAGAATTATTCTGCCCAGAATTATTCCTTCAGATGATTAACATGCAGGGTTATGTCATATCAAAGAAGTTATATCGGATGTGATGCAGGATGAGCACTGAATTCAATAATTTGTCACTATTTAAGCTTGAACAGGAGGAGTGATGACAATTGTGACATGGGTAGATTATATTAAACAGATGAGAACACATAATTTACCACCTGTGCTCTAATGCCTTAAGGTGTATTCACTGCCAGCTCCTCAAATCATAGCTATTCCAATGCTTTGTCTCCAAATTAGCCAAAACAGGAATGTCGGCATACAGGCCTTTAGGAGGCAGAGCTCTTCTCAGTACAATTTCTGAGGGAGGCGATGGCCTTGTGGTATTATTGCTAGACTATTAATCCAGAAACTCAGCTGATGTTCTGCAGACCTGAGTTCAAATCCCACCATAGCAAATGGTGGAATTTGAATTCAGTAAAGAATCTGGAAGTAAGGGTCAAATGATGACCGTGAATCCATTGTCAATTGTTGGAAAAATCTGTCTGGTTCACTAATGTCCTTTAGGGAAGGAAACTGCCATTCTTATGTAGTCTGGTCTACACGTGACTCCAGACCCACAGCAATGTGGTTGACTCTTAACAGCCCTCTGGGCAATTAGAGATGGCCAGAGATGCCCACATCAAGTGAGTAAATAAAGAACAAAACAGACCACAACGATTCGGTTTTCAGTGGGTTGGTTGGTTCAGTTGGCTGGACAGCTGGCTCGTGATGCAGAGTGATGTCAACAGCACAGATTCAATTCTTACACCATAAAGGTCCCACCTTCTTCACATCACCCTTTGCCTGAGGCATGGCGACCTCAGATTAAACTCACCATCAAGTTGTCTCCTTCTCTCCCTCTAATGAGAGAATATCCCTATGATCTTCTGGGATTGCGGTGACTTTATCCTTTGCATGCTACTCCAACAACAGAGCTCAATATTTATCACAACAAGGCAGACACAAGCTTCTCTATTCATATCCTGTGTGAAGAGCTCCGGTAGGGTGGAATTCCTAAAGGAGAATGCACCAAGACAATGTCCAGACTTGTCCTTGCATCATTATGGTAGATTCTTGCACGTTGCCTCAAATAAACAAGACGATAAAAATGGTTGCCTTTTCAGTTTGAGAAATTGAGCAAGTTGGCTACTGTAGCTGTGAATTGCCTCCTGTTGCACTTCAGGAAGTCAGCAGCCTGTGCCCTCACCCCCTGCTACCTTGCTAAGATGCTAAACCAAATGAATTGCCCAGCTTCCCTAAACATTGTGACAGACACTTGGTAAATCAATACCCAGTTGGAATCGTGGCTGATACTGCACAAATACCCTCTGATTCTTACGAATAACCCAGAGGTCTAAAAATTGTGTAGCTCTTAATAATCACAATCACAAGAGACTGTGTTTGCAGGGCTAGTTTGCAGTAGCTGACACAGATCCTCTGTTGCCTCTTTGGTGAAGAACATGTGCTCCTTAATAAAGCTTTTGATAGGATTTGTTCAGCCTGTAAATATTTTGCATGATATTGTCTAACAACATCCTGAGGGTTACCACTGACGAGAAACTGAATAGGCCAGAGCAGGTCAGAGGCTAGGAATCCTGCAACAAATAACTCACTTTCTGATTCCTCAAAAGTCTGTCCACCACCCACCAGGCACAAGACAAGAGTGCGATGGAATATTCCCCACTTGCTTGGGTGTGTGCAGCTCCAACAACACTCAAGAAGCTTGGCACCATTCCAGGACCACATCCACAAATATTCACTCTCTCAACCACCAAAGCACAATAGCAGCGGTGTGCACCATCTTCAAGGTACACTGTAGAAATTCACCAAGGCTTTTCAGACAGCACCTTCCAAACCCACAACCACTACCATCTAGCAGAATGAGGGCAGCAGATACATGAGGACACCACCACCTGCAAGTGCCCCTCCAAGCCACTCACCATCCTGACCTGGAATTATATTGCTGTACTTTCAGTATTGCTGGGTCAAAATCCTGAAACTCCCTCCCTTACAGCACTGCTGGACTATCTACAGGTCATGGACTGCAGTGGTTCAAGAATGCAGTTCACCACCACTTCTCAAGAGCAACTAGGGGTGGGCATTATGTTCCAGTCAGCAGTGTCCATGTACCATGAATGAATTACAAGTACTTGAGGACATATTAGTATCATCATCTTTCTTCCAATCAGTCCTATTCCTCCATTAGTATGGCAATTCTCTTTGTCAGAACCTTACACAACAGATGGCAACAAAAGTGCTCCTAACAGTCCCACACCCTCAGGCAGTCAGAGACAAATCCTGTACTGTCTAGATGAAAAGGCAAGGATAAATGAACTAAAACTGATTTCCCAAGTTCAGTACTTTACAGGCAAAGTTTGTTCAGTCTTCAAGTTCAATAGTTCCTTACCTCTACCATTCTCAAATGACAGCCTTCATTTAACGCATTCTAAGTTAACCTGATACACTCAGGGTGTGACCTCCTGATTACAGCCTGCCAACACTGTTGGTTGAACTGTCACGAAGACTCAACGAAGTTCAAAACAAGCACTGGGTACTCGGGTGCATCATTTTGGAATTAAACAATAGAAAATGGCTATTACCCTTACTTACAAGGCTAAACATACTAAGTTTTTCTGTCCTACAGTTAAGCCAAAAGCAATATATCCGAGCCTTTGCATACAGGAGCTTTAGTAGCTTTCCCTCATGAGCAGTTGATTTTCCCTCTCCCTAAAGAACAACATTAATCCTTGCAAATTGCACAAAAGGGAAGGCAAAAAACTCACAACAGCAATTCATGTTAAAAGAAAATTTTAATGGTAGTTCTAGATTGCTCTTATGGGGACCAGCCTCTATTAAAACTTATGTATGCAAAATCAGAGATAATAGACATAGTCTAATGGCTTAGTTCAGACACAAGACACTTAACTTGTTAATAGGACAGTATCTAAAGTAATTTGATCGGTTTTTCTGTAAATTATACCTTTTCCATTTAATTTCTCATCTTATGTGCTATATGTTCCTTTCTACAGTATATCATGTATGGAATGATATACAGAAGAACACACTGAGGAAACATAGGGAATCAACTATATGTCTGCTCATCGTGAATCACAATATATTCACACAGGAAAGTTACCACGAATTAAGAGGGATATGTTAATTCGTGAGGAGTTAGCCATGTAATTTTAACCCAAATGTCCTCTAGAAACTACTAAGATAAACTTCTGATTCACATTGTCATCAATCTAATTTTCCTTCCTGGCTGCTCTGTCTTTAGCACCTACCTCTTTCTCTTATTCCCCCAACCCGGACTGGAACAGGACACAGAGTCTGATCAGAGCAGAATTGTAATTCATTCAGATTGCAAGGGGTGGTGAGACTGCCAAGATAATCAGAAACTGGAGAACTCAGTTCAGTGAGCTTATACCTGCCCACATGAATCTCAAACATTTTAGAAATCAGATCAGCCAGCATTAGAATACAATCCAGTGAAGTAGCAATGAATGCCATTTCCTAATGGAGCTACATTTCAAATTGAGGAATCTTTATAAATGTGAGAATATATCAAGAATAAAGGTGATGTGTTTTACAGAATATTTCAAGAAAGTCATCACCAAAGAAAGCACTAAAACAATACTGCTATAGCTCATTGAATTCCAAAGCCTGACAAATTGGACAACTTACCAAAGGTGCTCCTGGAGCTTGTTGGCTGCATGCTTTCATGTTGCACATGAATTGCTACCTTCCCATCTCTTTCAACATGATTGCTGGTAGACTGACCCTGTTGTTTCAGAACATCAGTCAGAGCCCTGGAAAAAGAGAAAGTCTTTCAGAAATGACCAAAGCCTTTCATATCCCATGTTGGTCTGTAAATAAATTACCCACCGGTGAGTTCTTTACTTCTGACCCTAGTGCAGTGCAATTTACTTTATTATTGAAGCTATTGTCGAGTAATTCTCTGTTAATGAGCGCAAGCTCCTGACTGAACACCCGTTTTTGCCTGAAATGCCCATCGAGTAAAACGCAGTGCCGGTTTCTTTCTAATTAATTACATGGAAATGGGTTAGTGACTATTTTCCTTAATTTAAACAAACAATTGCTCAATTTAAACACAGGTGGTTTAAATGGTGGGGACTGTACTTAAATCATCAGAAAAGACGGTGATCTGTATGCTGCCAGACTATGCACAGTTAAATTTGCAGTCAGTGGATAATCTGCATTGATGAATAAAGCAAATTGCCAACGCTTTGATTGCTCAAGTGAGTAACCTCATCTTGTTCTCCATGGACATCTGGCAGCAACATGAAGGGGCAATGAAACTTTACTGAATGACAAGAATTTTGCAGATGCAGGGAATTGTAGACTGCACCAAGCCTTACATGCTTTGCTACACAAAGCCACTAGCTAGATGAATCAGTAAGGATTCCATTCACCTGACGTTCAACTCAGTTGCAATTATCAATGCTGTGTTGCACAAATCAATGGGAATTTTACAGGCATCTTATCACAGAACCTTCATTTAACGGCATCCATGGCTCCATAAAATATTGATCCACCAAAAATGAATCTTAAGAGTGACTTCACTGTGATTAAGGATAAGGCATCTCAAAATATCACTTAAAACACCAGTAAAATGGCATACTGGCAAGTGTAATGACGGAGCTGAAATGCGGTTGGTTCAAGGATATGAACGGTTGTGGTAGTGGGGTGGGTATTACGCGATTCAAAACTCTGCCCTGAAAAAGCTAGGTTCAATAAAGAGGAGAGAGTCCAAGAGGTGTCTGAAGATGTAAACTTAGTTCATTGTAATCTGGAATAAAAAGTCAGCATCAGTGATGCTGACAAGAAAACCACCAGATTGTTGTAAAAACTAATTTATATTTACAAATGCCCTTCAGGGAAGAAAATCAGTTGTCCCTATCCAGCCTGGTCTAAATGTGATGCTAGATCTTCATGATCCTAGTAAGCCATTCAGCTCTTTTCAAGAACATGACTCACAACCATCTTTATAAGGGCAATTAGAAATGGGTAGCAAATGTCAGCCTTGTCAGCAATGCTCACATTTCATGAATGAATTAAAAACAGATAACGGAACAGAATTCGATAGCAACTAAAAACTCTGCTCTCATATGTCAGACCATCTCCTAACTTTGAAATATGCAGAAAGTATAACCATTCCTACTGCATTCTCCCATGTTCCCAGTTATGCAGTTGGACACCTCTTTGACTGGCTGTTTAAAGCAGGGTAGCACATTCACACCCATCAACACCATTCTGTCAGTAAATCCACAATATGTTTATGGAGAGGAGGTCATTGATATTCACAGCACATTTACAGCACTATTCCCGACCTGGTTTGGAGGAAAGAAAATGCACTGTGGTCACAGCTTTTAAAAGACTGCAGTTGGCGAAGTGGCAAAAAGTCCTTGGGTTTGAGAAAGACAGAGAGTAGAAGCCACAATGAGAAGAGGATTAGTTTGGATGATACAGATGGGTTGGTGGAGTGGGCAGGAAAGTGGCAGATAGAGTTCAACTCTGATAAATGGGAGCCAATGCATTTAGGGAGGTCAAACAGTAAAAGGGAATGCAAATAAATGGGAATATACTGAGAAGGGTAGATGAAGTGAGAGATGAAGTGCACTGGGTCCTAAAGGTAGCAGTGCAGATACATAAGGTTGTAAAGAAGGCAAATGGAATGCTCTCCTTCACTGGCAGAGGTATAGATATAAAAGTAGAGATATAATGGTTAAACAGTACAAAGCACTGGTGAGGCCACAGCTGGAGTATTATGTGAAATTCTGGTCACCACATTACAGGAAGGATGTAATTGCCTGGAGAGAGTCCAGAGACAATACAATCATTCATTATTTCACACTAGCATGTTGCCAAGGTTGGAGAGTCGTAGCTACGAGGAGAGATTGGAGAGGTTGGGGTTGTTTTCCTTGGAACAGAGAAGGCTGAGGGGTGACATGATGAGATATACAACATTGTGAGGGGTAGAGATAGAGCAGACAGGAGGGAATTGGACATTGGATGTCAGTTGTCAGGGGCCACTTGATAACCATGTGAAGAGCACAATTAAAGAGGCTGAAGATCCATGCACATTGATCTTATGTTGAGAGCTTGTGACAAATTCCTTTCCTGTGTTGGAGAATCATATTTCAAGATTCTCCATCTGCCCAGTGAAAGAATATTTTAAATGTTGCATTTCAGGGAAATTTTAATAAATTATTCCAACACACAAGGGGGTAATTTGGTAGGAGTGGAACAGCTATTCCCATTTCTCTGCTGTTTCCCCATTACACTCGTTTTTAATCTACAGGCCCTTAGACAGTTACTTTTAAATTGAATCTATCCCCATTACCCTCTCAAAGCTCATTCTAGATTCAAACCACCTGCTGTGTTAAAAAAAAATCCATGTCACCTTTGGCAAAAGAACGGAACCCAAAATCTATTTCCTTTGGTTGTCAACCCCTCCAGCACAGGGAACAGTTCCTCCCTATCAATTATGTCCAGCTCCCTTATGATTTTGACCACTTCTATCTGATCTCTTCTGAACTTCCTCTTCTGTAAGGAGAGCAGGCCCAGCTTCTCCAATCCATCCTTGTAAATGAAGTTTCTTACCTTTGGAATGATTCCTGTAAATCTTTTCTGCACTTTTTTCTAAAGCCATTGCAGCCAACTGAGTGTGTGGTGCCCAGATTTTAACACAATACTCTAGTTGAGGCTGAACCAGTGTTCAGAAAGCTTCACCATAACCTCTTTGCTCCTGTGCTCTACACCTCTTCGTCTGGTGTATTGCGTATAGTTTTGGTTCCCTTACTTGAGGAGGGATGTAGTTGCATTGGAGGCAGTTCGGAGAAGGTTCACTAGATTGATTCCAGAGATGACAGATTTGTCTTATGAAGAGAGATTGAGCAGTTTAGGCCCATGCTTTCCAAAGTTTAGAAGAAAGAGAGGAGATCTAATTGACTTATATAAGATATTAAAGGCGATTGACAAAGTAGACATTATAAAAGATGTTTCCTCAGGTAGTGCAATCTAGAATGAGAGATCATCATTTTAGGATAAGGGGTAGCAGATTTAAAACAGAGATGAGGAAGAATTACTTCTCTCAAAGGGCCATGAATCTGTGGAATTCACTATCCCAGAGTGCGGTGGATGCTAGCACAGTGAATAAATTTAAGGAGGAGATAGACAGATTTTTAATTAGGAATCATTGAAGGTTTAGGGAAAGCAGGCAAGAAAGTAATGTTGAGGCTGCAATGAGGTCAGCTATTATTGTATTCAATATTGGAGCAGGTTTGATGGGCTGAATGGCCTATTCTTGCTCCTTGCTCTTATGTACTGTTTATAAAGCCCAGAACTCTGTCTCCTTTATTAACCATCTTCTCAACCTGCTGACAGCTTCAGCAGTTTGTGTGCAAACATTGTGAAACCAAAATGTCTGCTACTTTTGTCCCAGATTATCATTTCTAAAAGCTTCCCCACCACCAAGGTTAAACCGACCAGGCTTGTATCGCTGGGTTTAACCTCACACCCTTATTTTGAACAATGATATAGCAGTAGAGATTCTCCAGTTCTCTGGCACCACCTCTGTATCAAAGGAAGTTTGGATGATTATGGTCAATGTCTCTGCAATTTCCATCCTTATTTACCAGCACCATTCTGGGACATAACTGATCTGGTCCTGATGACTTATCAACTACAGGCCAGTATTTCTAATACTTCATGTTTATCATTTTTTTAGCCTATCCTGTATCTCAATTACCTTCCTGATGACTTTGGCAGCAACTTCTGCCATGGTAAGTACAAATGCAAGGTATTCACTTATTACCTCAGCCATGCACTCTACCTCCGTGTGTATATTTCCTTTCTGGTCTTCAGACAAATCTTCTCTTTAGGTGAAAATTTTGTTTTCTCCTTTATGCTAGTTCCAGTCTCTTCTCATAGTCTCTCTTTGCCTCCCTTATTTCTATAGCTAGTCTGGTTCACACTTGTATTATCAACTTGACATCGGTCATACAGCCCCTTTTACCACTTTAACTTATTCCTTATCTCTTGTGTCATCCAGGGACACCTACAGTTATCCTACATTTCTCCCTTGTTGGAATGTACCTCGACTATACCCCAACTTTCATCTCTTTCAGAGCAGCTCTTTGATCCTTTACAGTTTCACCTACCAATATTTTACTCCAATTTACTCAAGCAAGTCTCTTTTCAACCACGAAATCGGCCCCATCTAATTAAGTACTTGTACTCTACTCTGATCCTTGTCTTTTTCCATATAAACGCAATCATACCCTTTGATGATTGTTCCCTAGTTGTTCCCCTACTGACTTGTCTCATTTAGTTATTCCACAGAACCAGATCATACAGGGCTCCTTCCATGTGGCGTCAGAAACATGCAAACATCTAAACACACCACCTTACCTTTTTTTTGTTTAGGCACTTTACAACCTCGATGACTCAACACTGAGTTCCACAATTCACGACATGACCTCTTCCCTCAATTTTTTCTTACATCATCCCCCACACACCGTCACCCCCTACATCTTGTTTATGTCTTGCTTAATTTATCGCTCAGCAGACTGGACCTATCTACTCCATTTTACACCTATTTTAAATATCCATGCTCTTTTACCACCATTAGCTCAAACACTTTGTCGCTTCTCCTGGGCATCCTCACCATCTGTTCCACTTGCTCTCCTCCCCTCCATCAACAGCACAAAAACGTCTGCTTTCCAGGTCCATTAGTTCTAAACAAGACTCATATCAGACTTGAAACTGTTTCTCTCTCCAGAGACGC